CTACTAGTCTAAACAAGAGAGAAAGGGACAGATAAAGGAAGCCAATCAGTAGACGTATGGCTTCCTACTCCGCTGCAATGGATGGGTGGGATGCTGTCTCTGATTAGGTGAGGTTAGATCGAGGTGATGCCATCCATTTGCCACGGGGCGGCAACGCGCTTGTTGGTGGTCTGGGGATGCTGTGATGCACACCAGGGAAAGCCTCAGGGCATGAGCCTAAGATAAAGTTGGTTGAATTTCAACAGTGGCGGGAAATAACAATAATAACAATTATCATATGTACTCTGCACTGCACGCAGCAGGGAAGACGGGGCGTATACTATGCGACTCACTTTTTGTATGGACGGATCAATAAATGCTACCGGGCGGGTACCCATCACGAACAACAACAGAACAGAACATAGCAGGTTCAGAGCAAGGCCGGAGGGAGAGGAAGAGAGAGAGAGAGGTAAGGCCACTACGGAGTAAAGGTGAGGCTCGTCAATGGACAAATAGTGGAGGATGTGCGGATGGGCAGGATGGGCAGGATGGACGGAATGGGTATCTACGGCCACAATTGATTCAGGGTTCGTCCAAGCTGCCTATCTGTTGACTGCTGTCTGTTGTCTACATATTGTCTTTTGTCTAGGGCCTGCACTCAACTCATTCTGTAGTCTGTCTGCAGTTTGCAGTTTGGCGTCTGGGCGTGACGATGCAGATGGGGGACGGGAGATGACAAGAAAAGGTGGGGACAAGGGGGTGAAAGCGAAAAGAGCTAGGGATACACAGTAGAGAGCAGCCTCCTCTTGGGGGGGCGGGGCGTGTGTGATGTGGAAGAGTTTAGGTGGGCGTTGGCCCTGGCCCCTGGGCTTTGGCTTTGGCTTTTGGTTCTGGGATCAACCGGGGCCGGGGGGGGGGGGGGGGGGGGGGGGGGGGCTTGGAGGATGGAGACGCGAAGCTGTGCAGTGGGGAAAGGGAAAATGGAAAATGGGACAGATGATGATGATGGATGGTGGGTGGGTTTGAGGTTTGAGCCTGCAGTCTTTTTCCTCCTTCCCAGGCTTCCCTCGCTAGACTGCCCTGGAGAGAGGCCCTGGCTGGTTCCATGTTTAGGTAAGACAGCCTGATAGGTATGGAGTCTCCTCCTGTTAATTCAGTTGGTTTAGTTAACTTGAGGGTTGCATCAGCTGGTTACGCCTGATAAATGTCGTTTGACATGATCTATAGATGATACTGCGCGATGAACAGAGTGCAATTTTCAACAACAAGCAACAATTCCAACTTGTCAGATACATTGCTCAAACTGCAACAGATAAAACATGATATATTATGAATATTCTGTATATTGACTCAACCAGCAAGCTGTAAATACTACAAACAAAGAGTATAATTTTCTTTAATTGTATGTATTGCAATCGGTATGACCACACGAGCTGGTGTGAATATCTTCAATATCTCAATGTGTTGGAAGTGCTCTACCCTGGAGTTTGAGGTTTGAACAGTTTTATAGAGTGGATGCTCCAACTCCAAATGCTGTGTTTGCTTTGATAGGCATAGTCCTTAGCCTGGCTGGTGTAACAGTTGCTCGCCAAACAAATAATGCTGTCTGTGTTATGGTGGGAATACTATAATGCATGTCACTTGTTACTTGAGCCCTAACATAAGCATGCTGTAACAAAGTGTGGACATAAGCTCGTTTCCATCTACGGATACGCTATAATTCACTCCAATCTCCGAATGTATATCGACAACAGCATTCATGTGACCTACCACCTCAAAGACTACCCTGTTCCTATGCAAGTATATGCGAGTATATTCAATGCGTGCACAGCGTGCAGCATACAACCCGGTCAGAGCAGTATATGTAGTGCAACTGTAAGTTGATTGCCATCGCATACATATTCCCAGACAGATAGAGCCCCGAGTTAGATCTTCTCACCATTACTTAGGACATATATCTCGTAGTGAAAACTACGTGGTGCGACCATACATATATGTTCCAGTTGCTTGAGCACGCCTTGGCCGTCTACTTTTCTTATAAGAACGTTAACCCTCCCAAGGTTCGTCAAGCCTCGGCTTATTCAGTATAAACTATCTGAAACACCAAGTTGAACTCTGGAGATATTCCGCCTCGAGCAATAGACGCCACTGAGTCTTTTGTCTACCCAAACAAGGCTACATACAGCCTCCGTCAAGCACCTTGCACCTTGCACCTTGCACCCAGCTCCCGCTGCCGTTCTCCGAACGTTGTACCGTGACACACATGGCGCACAGCAGCTAAGCGCCTGCTTCCTTTCCTATCGCGATCGGCTTCAGAGCGTTGCCGATGGGATCTGCAGCGATTCTAGCCTTGACTTTTCTTTCTTCCCCCCCCTGCTTCCCCCCCTGGTAACTTGAAAGGAACTCGGGCTGAGCGTCAGTTCTAGCCTCTGGGTAGGCCTGGCCTGTGCCGCACAGGACAACACCACCCCTTCGACGCCCAAATTATGCAACTTTGCTTTTCTTCTTCCTTCCTTTTATTATCTGCAACCCTGGGCCTTTGTGTGTTGCGAGCACCTGCTATGTCGGCAATCTTATTCGTCGAGCAGTCCAACGGGGAGGGCTGCCCGTATTGTCTCGGATTGTGTCAGATTGTGCGTCTACTGCTCCTCCCGCCATACGCCATGACACTGCTTCTCTCTTACTTATCGTTAATAGCGATATACCTTGAATACGAGAAATATTAGCGGAAAGAAGTCATCCCGATCCGAACCTATTTCAGGGGATCCGATAACCGGATATACCTTGCAATTAATGGTTTGGAGGATGAGATGAGGCTCGGAAACAGGTATGAGTTTTCATGACGTGTTTACATATGCTCTTTGATGAGATACATGGGCAATTGGATATTATTAGTATATACTGATAGTGAATCACTGATCCTACCCCGAACGGGCTGCACATGAGAGGGAACTGCTTCGATGTGATGAACGGATAGATGGTTGGCTGGAGATCTGCCAATCTGGTAAAGGCCCAACGTCTAAGCTGCAGTACGTACTCTGAGACTACAGAGAAGAGGTACCTTAGTACGGACAGGTACTCGGTATAAAATTACGTAGGTGCTAGACCTGCCTAGGCCCTGCAGGACATGGCATGGGCGTAGCGAAGAGGGAAGAGAGAGACCCAGGCCGCCAGGATCTATCATCTTCCCACCCCGTTCATAGATCGCGCCAGCTTTCTTGGACTGCAGCCCCGAGGCCCCTGCACCTGCTGCCCTGCCTGGTTCGTTCCCAGCCTCATAATTCCCTCCACGCTCAATCCACAGGCACTTACGTTGTTTCAAAACCTACCGAGTATCCGTATAAGTACTTTGTACTCAGGCTTAGTCGGAATTGAATTGATGTACGGATACTGCAAATAACTGTAGAGATGCCGATTACAGCCGTTCCTCGATCCGTTCTTGACCGACTTTGCTCTGGAACCTTTATTACAGTACAAGGGGTCCGCTAACGAACACCTGATGACGGATGGATTTTTAGCAACTACCGGCCCACTACGGGGTCCGTCGGTAACGACAGCTCATGTCTCCTAGCGCGGACGTTAGGGAGCATCTAATCTCTCTTCAAACCCTTGACGGGTCTACGGTCCGCATAGAGAGTCATGTGACCCTCGGCGATAACACTACCAACATATGGTACTATAGATGCCTGAAACATATTTCATTGTATGTATTTAAGATATCCATCCATGGTTACAACTCCATCTGTCTTGGCCCAATTAGTATCGTAGTGTTGCATATGGTTGGCTGAGCAGACCCATCGACTGACAAGAGCAAGCTTTGTTTACTATTCATACCAAGCTCTATTCTTCTAGAACGATATCCGACAAGGTTTCAGTCTTAGCGCAGTCGGATTGCTGCTATAACGGCCCAGCGTTTCCTTGAGACAGTCCCTATAGTTCATCATCAACATATATTCTTCACCCATCTTGGATTAGTAGGGTCTCATCTCACAGCCCACAACTGCTGTGAGATCAAGTGTCAATCACATTCCGACCATGAATACTAAGTACTACCTAAAATCACGCGCCACAATGTATTGTTAGTTAGGTGCCTGGGAGCACCCCTCGACTCGAGAATTGGCTGGCTTTCAACAGCCACACGCAAAGCAAAGCAAAGCAGAGCAGAGCTCCCTTGCCTCACTCCGTAGCACACAGAGTGCACCAAGCAAGGAACGCATACCGTCTGCTTGTCTCACCTGCAACTAAAACCGCCTAGTCACAATGATGCTGACTTTGTGCAATGATACATGGTCGTGGAACAAACAGTTACGATTATTCTGAGACTGTAGGGTGGAAAGGTGCGGTGAAACATGTCCGTCAACCTGTCTACAGGCTGTGTTTGGCACTCAGTCCAACTGCGAGTTTCGCTTGCCGATACATTGGTCAATTGCAGCCAGTCATGCTTGTGGTGCTGATATGGGGTATGGCCGCTATAAACCTCGTTGCCTGACCTATTAGCAACATCTAGCCTTACCAAGGAGATGTTATCGTACTGGCTGATCAAGCTTTAAGCATTAAGGATTGCGCAAGCTGTAGTCAACTGTCTCTTTCAGCGTCTGGTATGTAGTTGGGTTGGATTTCCCGTGGCCTAATAAGAGCCTTCCCGAAAGATTTCTGGCAGACAGTAACACTTTACCTGAAAGCCAATTTAACAATACCCTAAAATAACCTGAAAGCATTATTCAACAAGACCAGCCATATCTGAACCATTGTTAGAGACATTTATCTACAGACAAAGTTTATCCTTTGTTCCCAATGCATGGGCCTATCCATCTGAATATGTGGTTACTCAAACACTATCGTGATACTCAAGGTGGAGGGCTGTTTGCAACCACATCCAGAACATTAAGCTTGAAATTGAGCGCTAACCTACTGATATAATACCTTCACATATATGCTTACGCTTTCCGTAGCTTTCTATCTTCCTTGTGCGATCACTTTAAGCCACTGCAAAAAGAGAAACCTGTCATGAAACAAGCTCGTGTCGGTGGAGAGGCTCGAACTCTCGACCTTTGGATTACTCTGACCTAGGGCCAAATCACAGCTTCTTGCTATGAGACCAACGCTCTAACCATCTGAGCCACACCAACTTTGGCAGTAGGATGTGAATCCTGTTGCTGTGGGGAGCGGACTTCCTGGATAACTTCAAGAAGTCGAACGTGGGTCAGACTACGCAGGAGGGGAGGGAAGAGCACACAGAGGAGTGCTGGTATAGTGATGGAGAGTTTTTTAAATATCACATGTCATCATTGACAAACATCTTGACTATCTGGTGAAACTTTAAATAGGTACGTTGCCTCATTGCCAAACTCAGATATTGGTACCTTACTTGGAAGTTTTTGACATCGTGGCTTAGGTACCTACACAGCTGTGTGGCTGCTGTGAATATGTGGCTGTCGATGGGCCGTGTGAGTACCTAGCCTCGTGTCTGATTGGCTATTTATATCCCCACAAGAAAAGAAAAAAGAAAAAGAAAATCAACATAAGTCAGTTCATGCAAACAGCAAAATAAAATGTCGGTAGAGAGGTTCGAACTCTCGACCTTTGGATAACCCTGGTGTTTAACCAAGTCAATCTGATACCAGATATGAGACCAACGCTCTAACCAACTGAGCCATACCAACTATTTGATGGCTGAGGGCGATGATAATACAGAATATATCGATCAACGCATGGTGACACTTGTTGAGCAAGTATCAACGACTACGCAATTTTCACCTATATCAAGGGCGATTTTATGCTAGATTCTGTTCTGGTAAACTCCAGACGGTATCTTTACGCGGGGTGCTTTGTGTTGGAGAAATGAAACGTGATCGGGTCGACGGAAAGACACGCCGCGAGCATCGTCACAACATCGGGAGAATTCGTCAAGTTATATACGGACTTTTGTCGTATTTCGGTATCTATATTCGCTTCGGAGTTGACTGAAGTGATGTTTGTGTATTCAATTGATTGATGCTGGAGGTGATTCGGCTTGTCCAGTATCACGGATGATGCATGCATTGTTGAATCAATGTGCCACTTACATGCAGGGTCTTTCGATGTACCGTACATGACCGGACGGTGAATTGACTCGCCACATACTCGGACCAGACTAACAAGAAAGTAAGCATCGAATACAATTCGCTACATCGTTCGAATGCAATTGAAACACAAGTCTAAGTGTCATAATGGAGACAAAAGAATGAGGCAAAAGGAACCGTCTTTAGGGTAGGCCACAGCCCAACAAGGCCAATGACACGGTTGAGCGGAGTTGACTCTTAGCATTTTAGCACTTCCAATGACCCGCCAATAAAAATACCCCGCACCTCCAAAAACCACAATCTTGACCCCGCCAACTCACCCTCCTGTCGCCTTCAGAGGCTCAGCCGCTGGCGCTTTAGGCTCAGGCTCGGCACAGATGAGCTTTTTGCCGCACGCGCTAAGTCTCTCTAGCTCCCCCTCCTCATGACTTCTGGTGGCCGTCTTCGGAACCCGTACTGGGAAAAAAAGGGAAAATTTTCATAGGGAAAGAGGGACCGGACCTTTACGGCCAGCAGCTGCTTCTTCTACTTTTACCTGAACCCGCCCGCATGCTTTCTACCCTTCCTCTTCTTCTTCCTCACTCACTCCTCAACCTCAACCTCAACCTCAATCTATAGAGAAACAACTTGTCTGTTTCTTTTCTCACAATCCCACCAAACTACCTCACAATGTCTCCCACAAACGCTGAATATGCGCTCTCCGAGACGCACAAGGAGGTAAGCTCCCCCCACCATTGATTGCCCCTCGTCACTGTTACGAGGGCATCGACAGATCAATTGACTCACACATGTCTAGATGCTCGAGAAGTCTCTCCTCGACTCCGACCCCGAGGTTGCCACCATCATGGTACGTTGTGCTGAATTGAACACCCTGACTGTCCGACAATGACTTACACCCACCACAGAAGGATGAGATTCAGCGCCAGCGCGAGTCCATTATCCTCATCGCCTCCGAGAACATCACCTCTCGCGCCGTCTTCGATGCCCTTGGTTCCCCCATGTCCAACAAGTACTCCGAGGGTTACCCCGGTGCTCGTTACTACGGTGGAAACCAGCACATCGACCAGATCGAGCTTCTCTGCCAGCGCCGTGCCCTTGAGGCCTTCCACCTCGACTCCGAGAAGTGGGGTGTGAACGTCCAGTGCCTTTCTGGATCCCCCGCCAACCTCCAGGTCTACCAGGCTATCATGCCTCCTCACGGCCGTCTTATGGGTCTTGACCTTCCCCACGGTGGCCATCTTAGCCACGGTTACCAGACCCCCGCCCGCAAGTGAGTTTTCTATGAGAATCATCCTAGTACCAAGTTCACACATGCTGACATCTCACCAAAGGATCTCTGCTGTCTCTACCTACTTCGAGACCATGCCTTACCGTGTCGACCTCGACACCGGCATCATCGACTATGACACCCTTCAGAAGAACGCCATCCTCTACCGCCCCAAGGTCCTCGTTGCCGGTACTTCCGCCTACTGCCGTCTTATCGACTACGAGCGTATGCGCAAGATTGCCGATTCCGTCGGTGCTTACCTTGTTGTCGATATGGCTCATATCTCTGGTCTTATCGCCGCTGAGGTTATCCCTACTCCTTTCAAGTACGCCGATATCGTCACCACCACCACCCACAAGTCCCTCCGTGGTCCCCGTGGTGCCATGATCTTCTTCCGCAAGGGTGTCCGCTCCGTCGACGCCAAGACTGGCAAGGAGACCCTCTACGACCTCGAGAACCCCATCAATTTCTCCGTCTTCCCCGGTCACCAGGGTGGCCCTCACAACCACACCATCACTGCCCTGGCTGTTGCCCTGAAGCAGGCCGCCAGCCCCGACTTCAAGGCTTACCAGGAGAAGGTTGTCGCCAACGCCAAGACCCTTGAGAACACCTTCAAGACCCTCGGCCACAAGCTCGTCTCTGACGGAACTGACAGCCACATGGTCCTCATTGACCTCCGCCAGCACAACCTTGACGGTGCCCGTGTTGAGGCCGTTCTTGAGCAAATCAACATTGCCTGCAACAAGAACTCCATCCCCGGTGACAAGTCCGCCCTTACCCCTTGTGGTATCCGTATCGGTACCCCTGCCATGACTTCTCGTGGCTTCGGTGAGAAGGAATTCGAGCGCGTCGGCAAGTACATTGATGAGGCTATCAAGATCTGCAAGGAGGAGCAGGCTGCCCTCCCCAAGGAGGCCAACAAGCTCAAGGACTTCAAGGCTCGCGTTGCCAGCGGCGAAGTCCAGAAGATCAACGACTACAGGAAGGAAATTGCTTCCTGGTGTGGTGCCTTCCCTCTCCCCGTTGAGGGCTGGCGTCTGGATGCCGGCATCTAAGATGTACGGCACTAGAATCTACTGCTCCTCTAAAGGCTATCCATCCCTCAACATGATGTGATGCCTTTCTTCTCAACACGCATTTAACATGGATGAGGCAAATGGCGAAACGTTCAACAAGCATGCATTTCAACAAGGCGCAAATACCTAGTTTGTTTTTTCGGTAAAGGGCTTTTTTCAGGTCGGGATATACAAGCATCCTTCAACATAGATGGATACGCTGGAAAAAAGGAAGTGGGAGTTGGGTTATGTTTATGATATCTAAGATGGTTATTTCACCTTCTCTCCAGCTATATTGACATTCTACCTTCAAGGTATGGATTCAGGATAAGTTGGAATCTGCACTCCGGTAGGGAGTAGCAGCAGACAACCAAAATAAATCAAAGATTAAATGTCTGAACACTGTATGGTCTCATCACTTTGATAGAGGAACTCATACCAACGGCGTAAGATTCGAGGCTGCTTATAGGACACCATGCTTAATCAATTTAATATCCATACAAAGCCTGACTAACAAAGACGTTAGTTACGTTATGAAGCAGTCCTTAACATTTACGGCATTTGCATACTCCATAAAAATGCGGATCGAGATAATCGTGAAGACTCAATTACTTTTCTGAAGGTAGTTTACAACTTGAATAGTAAGCATGATTACCTCTTTTGACACCCCATATATTCGGACCACGTATTGAATCACCGCTCACTGCTGTATTCGTATCTAACTCCTGTCGAGCGTATATCCCATTCCATCTCATTCTCATCTGATCAATCCAAGTATACCTATCCGTCTCATCCATGACTGCTATAACCTTTTTGTACCCAGTCCGCCCACCTAATCCACTTGACAAGATAAGAAACAACACGGTTCGTATATAATGGCGACGGCAACTTGCTAAGAACTTAGCTGCTTACGCCTCGCTCAATAGTATCCACCCAACACAACCCTTCCCATACGCCGGGCAATGAGAAAGCCAATACACAACACGTCTGCTTTTGGTTTGACCAGATGATTCCAAGGCAAGCTTGTCCGCATCCTACACCTCGTTCGAGATTGGGTGTAGATGGGTGAGTCAGGTATATTCTCATGTGTCGTGTAGACATATGCCGTGCCGACCTCCCCAACACGAAAGAACAAAAGGGAAAAGAAGAGTCAGAAACGCCTTGGATAGGTGCTTTATTGAGTGGTTATTCGTATGCAAAGTAAGAGAGTTGAAAAAAAGAAAACCAAAGACCAGCTTCAAGGGTCGGTACAACATATCTGCGGGGGTATGAGAAAGCCGGAAAGGGCATCAAGAGTAAATGCAGGAAAAGAGTAATACATGATTTATAAGTAAATTCGAAAGGCATTGATCGGCACTACCCGGACAATCCGAGACTGCGCTTCCACGCCAGAGATCCCCTTGGAACCAACGACTAACTTGATTCTAAAGAACAAACTAGTCAAAGTTCCTTTTGGTAAACGTGAGACTGAGACCTGTAAACGGTCATCATCTCTCATATATTACGGCACTATCAGAAGCCTTGCTTGGCCTACTGAGCAATGCTTTCTGGGCTCATCATGCCGATGGTGTCGTCCTTGTCTGTTTGGCTGTTGTTCCCCTGGCTCTGCATGCTGTCTTGCCTTTCCATGCTTGGAGCCAAGGCAAGAACTGCAGGATTAGGTGCTGAGCCAGTCGTAGCAGTCATGGACTTCTTCTTGCCAGGGGTAGCGTTGACACCTCCTTTGTCAGGTGATGCGTTAGCATTGGCTCTGGCTTCAGCAGCGGCGGCCTCCATCTTCTTCTTCTTCTTGGCGAGAGCCAGCTGCTCCTTAGGAGAGCGCTTCTGGGCAGTAACAATCTTTCCACTTGCACCCAAACGAGGACGAGGCTTCTTCTGTTTGGTAGGCAGGTCTTCGTCCTCCACAAGGGGCTGATCGCCATTAGCGTGCAGCTTAGCCAGGAAGAAGTTCTTGACCAGGCCAACTTGGTCCTGAATGTTCTCCTTGGTGACTGGCTCTGAATTTGGCAAGGGTTCGAAGAGATCGGTGGCCGTCTCCCCAGTGGTCTGTGTCTGCATCTGGTACTGATTGCGGACTCGGGTTTGCAGAAGATGCAAGGGGACGGAGATCATATCAAGTCCCATCTCCTTATCCAGACCCAAAGCCCGGAAACCAAAGAAGTCTTCACCAAGGTCCTCAGCAAAGTCACCACTGACGAACTGCTCGCTGCCATCTTTGAAGGCTCCAACTCCATCAGCGCCAGCATCTTGTGATAAAGCAGGTCGTAACAAGTCTGTGA